TCAAATTTAACAAAATCGCTGCTATAGCAGCGATTTTGTTTTTTCCAATGGACAAAATCGCTACTTCGCGAGCGATTTTGCCCTTTTGGTTTAAAAGAAATTTCATATACCGTTTTAGAATTTTTGTTAACATTTTTTACCCTTTAGGCTTCGGACTCGTATATATAAAGTATGGTGTAGATGACATCCTTCAAGATCGTGTTCTTTGCAATTTTATTTCTATTGTAATACAAATCAAATGTCAAAAAAAATTATGAACAATGATTTTGAAAAAATAATATTTAGATTTTGTTTTTGTATAAGTATTTTTATTAGGAAAAATGCATAAGTACCCCCAACCTATGTTTGAAATTACAGAGACACACTTATAATATACTATGGTCCTATGACCTCTGAACTTATTTCATAAATAATTTTCTACCCTTTTCATCCTACGTGGCACTAGCTTGAAAAAAATTGTCAACACGTGATCGACCCACAAGATAGTGTCATGTAAGCCGAAAAGGGGTAGAAAATTATTTGATCATAAAACCTTAGTATACTATAAATGTATCTCTGAAATTTCGGGCACAGGTTGAGGGGTACTTATGCATTTTTCAATTTCAATTATGACATTTTTTATATGAATATTCACTTTTGAAATTACATAAAATTTGTTTGAAACTGATATAGATTTTGGTTTGAACATTCATCTTTTTTATGATTCTAGTTAAAAAATTACATAAAATTTATTTAACTTTGGTATACTGGTTATACCATGTTAGAACGATTTTAGAATTATATCTGAATGAATTTTGTATACTACTTGTCTAATAAATGACAATTAATAGTTAGAAGTTGTATTATTTTTATATTGTAATGGCATGATTCTGCTGTGAGAAATTGATGATTTATGGCATGAAATAGGTATAATTATCGCAAGAAATTAGTATGAAAAATGTGCATAATAATTGTATGAAATTTGTATATTGATTTCAGATTTTCTGTTGTGTATAATAATTTGAATTATGACGGATTTTTTCTTTAAAAAGTATAATGTTATATTTTGATGCGAACATTGAATTTATTCATTATTTGTCTGATCATTTTTGTTTATTCTTTGGTATATTTTTTATTTACAAAAATTGATAAATTTTTCTTTGAAATTTGTATACTATTACTACCTGACAAGTATGACAATCGATAATATTTTTTTTACGTTTTCTGACTTGATTGGAATATTTTTTTGGCATTATATTGTAATGACAATTAATATTTACAAGTTGGAATTATTTTTGTATTCTAGTGCCATGATCCTGGTGTGAATAATTGATAACTTTTGCTATGAAAAAGGTAAGAAATGTGTGAATAAGAATTGTATAAAATTTGTATACTCATATAACATATGTGTTTTTACTTTTGTATTTTGTAATAAAATATAAAATTGTTAAAAAAACATGTCTACTTTTACTTTTGTATGAACTTTTGTCACGATCCAAAAATGAACGTAATGGCACTCGTCTTATCCCATCAAGACAAGTCAGCCTAAATCCAACTAATATAGTGAATGCGAAGTAAAACGTGCATAAAAGTCTAATACAACAAAATACTGCGAAAAACAAGGTCAACTTAATTAAATCCCCAAAACCTGGTTGTCACGTGTACAAGCCTCTAAAGTATTACAACTGAATCAAAAGAAAAATGTAAGTCTCATATGACATTGTTTCTAGAGTAGAACAAGAGCATAAATATGAGTAAGAAGGTCCGCTGAAATGACAAGCAACTACCTCACAAATCTCCATAAGAAGCCTCAGACAAGGAGAAGGGAAAATTTCACAAAGGTCAACGCTAATAACCTAAAAAAATTGTAAAAACGAGGGGTGAGTACCAAACCACACGGTACTTAGCAAGTAAACCTCTAAATGCAAGCTCAGAGAATAAAATACGGGTACTCCTTACACCCAATTGAACCTCCACAACTACAGCCTGCATAAAACCAACCCAATCTAACAGTTCACCATTTATAAGAACATTTCATAACAACAACATTCTAACGATCACATATTCTCAACAACAAGCTCAATATTCATCATTACAACCTCAACAAAAAGGCACTCATATATCAGCAACACACAATATCAAGTTTATCAAATAGAGGTAGCCAAATATCAAGTACTTTTCAACCACCAATAAAATACATAATTATCAAGAATGAAGGATGTCATGGGATGCAATGCAATATGACACCATGAATGATATGCCTCAAAATACCAAGTACTCTCTCAACCATATATACATGATACTCCTAAGAAATACATCGAAAGTTCATGGCCCATAGGGGACTCGCGAGGTACAGACACGGATGATCTCCACGTTCCTATACGGATCTCAACGCACTATCACAAATTAAATAAATTTCTGTATGGACGATCTCCATGTGCCCAAATTATAATCTTAACACCTCACCAACCCCAACATAGACGATCTCCGCGTGCCTAACTTATAGTCAATCTCATGTCAATGCATGTGCGCAGTATGATTCCAATGAAAGGGATGACGCATCTCAAACAATATCAATATGATACGTAATCACCTCAGCTATCACAAGTATACGTTTGATAAAGAATACAGTCGCACATAATAAATTAAGTCAATAATATATCAACTAATGTCCATATGTTTTGGCATTCTCGGATTACAATCTGCATTCTATAATAATAAACTTTCTCATTACTTCCAAAACATACCACAAGTAAGTACGTGAAATTCATACACTTAACAAGGGTTTAGAAATTCACCTACCTTAAATCATCGAACAATCACTGTGACGCTTGAATCTTCCCCTTTCGTTAGGATTTCGATCAACGTCATCTATTCAAATGATTAATCACAAAAAAATTTCAAAACTAACAACAATCATATTACTATAGGTATAGACTAGATTCAAAAACATACACAAACCTAGAATCAAGTTCCTAAATTTTGATGTCAATTATCATGTCAACCCACATACTTCCAAATTTCAAGTCTAGGGTTAAGTTTCCATTCTCCAATTCCATGAATCTAATGATATTTATATAATACAATGCCCTTAATATTTAATTACATATGTCAATATATATAAAACTTAAATCGTGATATGATAATGTATAACAAAAGTTCCACCACGAAAGATAAATATATACCTACTATCATGTATCAAGACCCGTAACTATAGAATATTTGAACTAAACTAAAATTAAACACTTAGAATGAACACTAAAACAGTAACTGCTTCTTTAGAGAGATCTTTTCATTGATTGAGCTCAAAAATCTAGTGAATACAAATAATGGATGTGGTATTTATAGACCACATTTTGTAACCAACTTCTTCTAGCTAACTGAGCATAGTTTGTTACAACTAACATTGTACAATGACTAATATACCCTTCATCAATTTAATGAGTTTTAACTAACTACTTAACTACTTCTTCACATATCTCATTACTCCCCTTTACGTTAGGTAGGATAAAAATATTTAACACACCTAACTTGGATAAGAGATATTCATGTTGATGTCTGGACAACCCTTTAGTCAATATATCAACAGGTTGTTCTTGTGTAGAAATGTAGTTCACTTTAATCAGCCCTTGTTGTATCCTTTTCCTTATGAAATGACAGTCGATTTCAATATGTTTTGTCCTTTTGTGATAAACTGAATTTGCAGCTATTAGACATCCATTTGATGAATGTGTCAATGCCTTGAAGCTGCAAGTGACATAATACATCTTACAGTGACCATCTTTACAACTGGTGAAAAAGTCACTTGGTAGTCAATACCCTCTTGTTGATTGTACCCCTTAGCCACCAACCTAGCTTTAAATCTCTCTACCTTTCCTGTAGAATTGTATTTAACTTTAAAAATTTATCTGCAACTATAGGCTTCTTCCTTGGTGGTAGATCAGTGACCACCAGGACTAATTACTTTCTAGAGCTTGAACCTCTGCCCGCGTAGCATTTACCCATCTTTTATCCTGAACTGCTTCTAAGTATGTAGTAGGTTCCTTGACTGATGAAGTAGCAGCCAGATAAGACTGGTAAGTATGAGACAAATGACTATAACTGATGTAGTTGCTTACTGGATACTTGACCTCATTATGAATATTCAAGGAAATAAAATCCTTAACCCATGTAGGAGTATGTTTAGTCCTTGTAGACCTTTTAGTATTAGCTGGTAGCACAGCCTCTGGAACTTCAATCATTGGTTCTATAACACCATAAGACACTGGAGAACTCTCAGTTTCAGTAGGTGAACTTGAATAGTGGGAAGGAGTGAATTCAGTAGTTTGTAACTAATCAGAAATCTCAACCTGTGTAGTTATAGGAACTAGAGCAGGTGAGTGTTGTAGCAGCTTAGTGGAGTCTAGTAGGCAGTCACTAAATAGTGGAGGTTGATCTTATAACTTGTCTTGTGAGAAATGAAATATATCTTCTCTAAATAATACATCTTTGCTAATAAAGAATGTGCTAGTAGTAATATCAAACAGTATTTACCCCTTTTGTATTTCTGAGTACCCCATGTGAACTGCTGACTTAGACCTTGGCATTAGTTTATCATTCTCAACTAGTTTCTTGGCAAAGCACAAACAATCAATAGTTCTTAAGTGTGACAACATAGGCTTATATCCATACAATCTTTCATAAGGAGTAAGATAGTTGATAACACTACTTGAAACTCTGTCAATGAGATATGCAGCAGCAGGTACACAATGTCCCCAGGATTTTAATGGAATTTTACCTTGGAACCTAAAAGCTCTTGAGACCTCCAATAATGGTCTATGTTTCCTTTCAGCCACTCCATTTTGTTGAAGTGTATAAGGACAAGATCGTTGATGAATAATTTCCAAATCCTTAAACATACTGAATTCACAAACTCAGTGTCATTATCACTTAAACACTTAGAATGAACACTAAAACAGTAATTGCTTCTTTAGAGAGATCTTTTTTTTTATTGAGCTTAAAAGGCTAGTGAATACAAGTAATGGAGGTAGTATTTATAGACCACATTCTGTAACTAACTGAGCATAGTTTATTACTATTAACAGTATACAATGACTAATCTACCCTTCATCAGTTTAATGACTTCTAACTAACTACTTCTTTATATATCTCATCAATATTATACACAAGTGAAATTCTTTGATCCATTCAATATCCCCCATCATTTCTCTTCTAATCGTTATCCTATAATCCTAAGAATAATTACTCGATCACCAACCATGGAACTTTTTAATAACACCAACAATAGCGAGAAAAGGGAAAACGACAAACATGTATTCTTTCACAATTGTGCATCCAGGGTAATCTCATTACCCTCGAATCAAACATATAAAATAATAAATTACTGAACAATTTAACATACCCAATTTAATAATAAAATAACGATATTAATTCTTTCCTCACCCAATTAATTAGTATATGTAACTAATATTGAAGTTGGATCAAGCTTTTTACCTGAAATTTTTTTTTATCAATTTTGTCGGCATCAAAGTTGAGTTCTCTCTCACGATAGTTTCAGCCGCAACTAATTTGTATTAGGATAAAATAATAATAACCTCTCTTTAATTTAATTTAATATAGTTTCCACACATTAACTAAATCATGGGTTTGACCCTTTAATCAAAAACCAAATTAATTAATTAAAAATTACTCCATTATAATTTTAACTAAAAGAGACTAAATAAAATTTATATTTAAATTACGGAAAGGATATTTTGTGAAAGAGAGGACTAGTTCTTAAAATAAACTTACGGGTCATTACAATTTTGTATAAATAAAAATGGTATCGTAATATAACATATGTATAAAACTCTTTGTACTTTTGTATGATGTAATAGTGACACAATGATTCACGTGGAAACAGAAAATATGTAATTCAAAAAGTTCGAAGCATAAATTATTGTCGTCTTGTCCAAAAAGAACAGCATGGATCGGAGCCACAAGTTGAACGCTCTAAATAGTTTGGTAACGTGAAATTCAAGAGGTCTAAGATACGTGCAGTCAATGTCGTCGAGAGGAACACAACAGGAAGACATGTTCAAATTATCCTTCTGAAGAAAGACATAATTTATTTTTATATTGATTTGGTTATTTTATTGTGGCAAATTCATGTTTTGATCTGTTTTGTCTTTTAAGCTAATGAATTATAATTTCAGAATATTTATTATGTGTGCTAGTTAATCATTTGTATTCAGTGCGTTCAAATATAACTCAAAAATAGATAATGTTGGTATGTGATTGATATCGACTGAAAAAATTAAGTCAAGTCTTAGTATGAAATTGGTATACATTTGATATCCAACTAACGACCCAATGGTAAAATTGAAAAAAAAACATATAATTGAGATTTTAACTGAAATAGTAAATGTAAACCTAGTTAATATTATATAATTTAGTATCGAATTGATATCCCATTGGAAAATTGAAACTCAACATGTAATTGAGATTTCAACCAAATTAGACAACCTAAACAAGTTAATGTTGTGTTCAATTGGTATCCAATTTGTATCCAACAGATATCCCACTTGAAAATGAAAAAAAAAATGTAACAAATATTTCAACCAAATTAGACAATCTAAAACAAGTTAATGTTGTATTCAGTTTATATGCATTTGGGGGGAAAGGGTCTGATATACCCCTCAACTTTGTCATTTGGAGCTGATATACCCCTCGTTATAAAAGTGGCTCATATATGCCCTTACCGTTATACAAACAGCTCACATATACCCCTGCCGTTACAACATGGCTCACATATACCCTTCATTTAACAGAAGTTAAAAAATTAGTTTTAAATTTATATTTATTACTTCTAATTTTTTTAAAAAAATTATTTAGGGGTATATATGATTCACTATCAAAGTTCAAGGTATATTTTAATTTTTTTCATACATAAATTATTTTTTGTCTTCTTTTATTATAACTATTTGAGTTTCTTATTCTTATTCTTATTTTTTTCTTTCATTCCTTATTTTAAAGAAAAAAATTTAAACTATTTTTTTTTGTGTATTGTAATTTAATTTCGTATTCGAAGAAAGAATTTGGTCATCTACAATAAGTTTTTACAAGAATATTAGTGAAACATAAATAAATTTGATTATCAAAATAATAATTATAAATTAGTCATTTAAACAAAAAAAGTCAAAAAAAATATGTTTGACGAGGATTAAATTTACTCATATGGGATTATATTTTTTAGAAAAAAATAATAAAAATTTTGATTAAAATTATTATTTTTTCATTTCCGTTAGAAGAAAAGGGTATATGTGAGCTATTTGTTTACAAGTAGGGGTATATATGAGCCACTTTTATGACGAGGGGTATATCAACTCTAAATCACAAAGTTGAGGGGTATATCAGACCCTTTTCCCTACATTTGGTATTCAACTTGAAATTTTAGAATAGATACAAAAAATAAAAATGTACGAAATTGATATTCAACAACTATAAATCTGGAAAGTATAAATTTGTGTTTAAAACAATGCATATTATATATTGTTGTCAGAATTTGTAGTAAAAGAAATATACATCACGCAAAAATCAAAACATGTAATAAAAGTCTAAACTGCAATAATTAATATCAGTTTTATATTTTCCTCACTCTTCTATTTATATTCTCTATTTAAGTGTGATTTTTAAGGGAAAATTACGTGGATAAGCAAACTTATATTATTTAATTACTTATCATAACTATAGTTTGCTATAATTATCACTCGCGACTAACATTATACATTAATTACGTGGGCTGACTTCGAATTTGTACAATTAGTCATGTTTGTATATGTATAATTCGCCAGAATATACAAATAAATATGTATAATATATAATTTTTTAGCCTATATACATTACAATTCACCTCTCTCCTACTCTTTGTCATCTCTTGCTCGCCTCTCTCCTCCCTCTCCCAATCTCGCTTGCCATTTATACAAATATATATGTATAATATACAATTTTATACATATAAAATTTACCTCTCTCCCACTTTCTGTCCTCTCTCGCTCGCCTCTCTCCTCCCTCATCTTGCTTGCCTCTCTCCTCTCTATCCCAGTCTCGCTCGTCTCTCTCCTCCCTCTCCCAATCTCTCTTGTCATATATACAATTATCTAACCAATATACATATACAATTCACCTTTCTCTCACTCTTTTCCCCCTCTCTCTCGCCTCTCTCCTCTCTCTCCCAGTCTCGATCGCCTCTCTCCTCTATATAACATGTAGCTACAAATTGTAGTTATCGAACTATATCTATGGAGAGTAATACAGATTTTACAAAATTCACATAGTTTAATATAAAATTATAATCTATTCATTTTTAATTTGTAATTACTCTCTCCGTCAATTTTATGTGACAACATTTGATCGGGCACCGAGTTTAAGAAACAAATGAAGACTTTGAAATATTTATCAAATTATCCTCAAAAGAAAATAAAAAATAGGCTTATTTTTCTCTCTCCTCATAACTGTATTAGAGTACTAACAACGGTAAAAGAGAAATTGTACCTTTAAATACTTCTCATAAGGAAAAGTGACATTCTTTTTGGAACTGACCAAAAAGGAAATGGTGTCACATAAAATGGGACGAAGTGAGTGCATTGATTTCATAAAAAGTAACACAAATCGAATACATTAATATATAACTCAGATACATTGAAGAGTATCTCGAATACATTATAACATAAAAATGATACATAATATGAAGTTTGGATACATTAAAAACTAGCTCGGATATATAATATGTAGCTCAGATACATTAAAAAATAGCCCGAATACATTATAAAATAAATCAAATATATATTATGTAGTTTAGATACATCAAACACTGACTCAAATGCATTTGTATATAGCGCAAATACATTAAATTTTTATTTTATTTAAAGATTTATAAAAATAAAATGGGATATTAAAAATAAAAGAAACATATAACCTGTATTTCAGTAATTTTTCTTAATATTTAGAATGCACACAAAAATGCTAGTCAATTTACTTTTGTTATAACTTCATATAGTTATTTTTATTTGAACTTCAACCAGATGACTTGAAGTTCTTCCACATATGGTTGTCTAGACTTTATACACATATCACTTCAAATCTGATAAAAATAATCGACATTCAATCAAATCAATTATCGATTTAAACTTTTGTTGATAAGTTAATTATACAATACACACCATAATAAAAATAGCTTTTTAACGATAATAAATATACACACTAAAAAAATGTGTTAAAAATTTTTTGCCGACACTAGCTAATTGTTATTGAATACTGTATCGATATAAACTTTAAAAACATTTATAAAGAATATTAAATACCGCTAAAATATATTTTTAATAACAATTAAGCTATTATCATTAATTAATTATTGCTTAAAATAATTTATAACACAATAACAACTAAAAAAGTTTTAACAGCTTGAGAGTCCAACACTATAAAAAAGACTTCATAAATAAAATATTTTTGCTGGGGGAAACAAATCTTTAGTTGGATCCGTTGTCACTTGACAATATAATAGAAACAAGCATGCATGAGTTAGAATAAAGGGTCAATAGTTGAGTTAGAATAAAGGGTCAATAGTTGGATTTTATGTTCAAGGAAAAGGCTAAAATATGCTATTGAACTTTCAGAAAAAGTTTATTTATGTTATTTGTTAAAAGTTTGGCTCATCTATGTTATTACCGTTCAAGAAAAGGATCATTCATGTAATTATTTCTAAACAATGATTTTGCAAAACTATTTTTTACACATGGCCAATTATAATCCGATCATGTCATTAACTTTTTTAATGAAAAAAATCATAATTGTGAACATAAAATAATTTTTTTTTTGAATTTTTTTATAAAAAAATTGATGAATGGCCACGTCATCAATTTTAAAAATAAAAATATCTAAATTATGAACAAAAATTGAATCAATCTTTTTTTTTTTTTGTATTAAAAAAATTGATGACTTGACCGAATTAAAATTGATCACGTGTCAAAAATAATTTTGCAAAACCACTGTTAAAAGATAATGGTATGAATGAGCCTTTTTTTAACGATAATGACATAAATGAGCAAAACTTTTGACCAATGGCATAAATGAGCATTTTCTAACAGTTCAATGGCATATTTGAGCTTTTTCCTATATTCAATATTTATATATATATTAAAAAAATTAATTATAAATACATTTTTCTAACCAAGGTTATTTGTGTTCAACGAATTCGTAGCTCTGCCCTGTCTACTTTTATAGCTATCCAAGAGCTCAACGGAATGCATGGGTTACCTTATTAGACATACATCACAACTACATATACTAATATTATCTTTACTTTCAAACGGTTACATGTATTACCAATTTTAGTATTTTATACTATATATTATTTGAAGATACAATTAGATACTCACATCCTTTAAAACTTCGATTGATTAATTATCTGCTTAATTAACTATTTCACTTCAAATCAACCACTATCTCTTAGTTCTCTCCTCCCATATTTATCACTCAATTATGTATTCTCCTTTTCGATTCAAAAATTTCAATGTACAATTTCATTCTAACAATATCTATTCTATTTTCTTCTTCTTCAAGATATCATCACCGTTGCCAATATATTCTCATGACTC